AATTGTTATCACCGTCTGTCAGGCGCGTACAAAATACTTCTGAAGTAGCCTATTTTTCACTTGAACTTTTCCTCTAGACAGGAGAAGTTTTACAGTTGCAATGCGAAAAAACTAAAGGCTCAAGTCTTTTGGTTTATGAATTCACCAAATGTGTTGTGTTATCTGTAATTGATCTCAACATGAACAGAAGGGGTCAATTAGTGGTATTTGTGGCCTGGTTTATCTCGCACACTAATTGTGCAATATGTGGCGTGCAAAATAAATATGGTGCTAGTGCTTATCTGCAGCAGTTCTCCATATTCACACCCATAGGAACAGTCCTGACTATAAAGCCCTGAATCACTAGATTAATGAGACAGACAAAGGTAAACCCATTCCTCTCTGTCTGATTTGTGGTGAATCTCCTTGGATTGATATAAACATGCAAAGCTGTAAGATCACTTCTATGCAGCACAATTCAACCACATAGAGAGAACATTTGTACCACCTCATAGTGATTTAGCTGATGTAAAACAGAATTTAAAAAGAAGAAGAAAATGTAATGCTTGGAATCGTCAATCACATATTTTGCTGGACTCCCGTGGAGGACAGCTGCTATATATAACAGCAGCTGCTAAACAGGACTAATTCTCCAGAATGAAATATGCCGTAGAGGCCAGCCATTTACAGGACTGTATCACGGCTATATTTCAAGGGCCCGGCGAAGCCTCTGCCCATTAAAGTGTGTGATGTATTTAAGGGCCAGTGTGTGTCCCGCTCTGGTCTCAGAGAGGTCTGCTCACTGACATGATGCCTTCTGCCTGATCCCGGCTCTCCATGTACAGAGGAGCTGTGCTACAGAAGCATCTGAAGGGTCAATCTGTACAAAAATCGAGATTAGAAAAATACGAAAACTCCATCATTGTTTTATCTTTATAAAAATGCAGTGATATCATAACTGTGCAGAAGAACGCAAATATTAGGTTCAATCCTTATATATTTTTACAATTAGACTTTATGTGTGGTTATTTTCTTTTCAAAATACTGCGAAATTAAAGAGGATTAAAAAGGAATTTCACAAATGAAGGAGGTGGCTGGTACTAGTGAAATAATATCAATATTCACATTTGTCCTTCTACAGTATAAGGTACATCCTGCAAGCTGTTCAATTAAAAATATTAGCAGTGAAGTTACCTTAAAAAAATACCAAAATATTTTAATCCTAACCCCATTTTACCCTAGTTTGATATCATTAATGATTTTGAGAGATGTGGAAAATGTTAAGTCAGCTGGGGTTAACTCGTTTTTTGAGGTTAAATATGTGTTTTGTGCACGTTTATCAATATCTTGTTTAAGTCTTGTGTAGAAATTGCGTCGTCGTTTTTTTTATGGAAATTGTTGTGTCCTTTTGATACCATTCACAAACATGTATTTCATTTATTCCAGGAGAAATAAGTTGACTTTTTCTCACCTGAAGTCAAGTATCTTCTCTGCACTAAGCGTCAGGCCACATTTGAAGACGGCGGCCCTCAGGAAAATATTTTTGTAAATCCTGCTATTTAGGGTTATGATTCGAACAGTACATTGCACATACATTGCGTGTCTTTACAAAAAAAACAAAAAACAAGGTGTACTTAGGTCAAGACAAAATTAAAACATTCAAAAATGTGAACACATGGTCTGTTTCCTCATTAAACTAAGTGTGAAGGTGCTTGGATGAGCACTTTTAGCCCGAGGCTGGAGGTTCAGCTCTGGTAGCTGGCCAGATGGACTGAAGAAAGCTGTTTTCTTTTCTGAAGAACGTTGTTTTTTTCACGATGGTTCTAAACCATGTCAACATTTTGGCACAGCTGCCAGGTCTGACCTACTCATAGTGGCAAATAAGCATTTACGGATTCCGTAGTTTATGCTCCGACCACTGATTTCACAGCATCACCTGCACAATATAAAAGCCGATGACGTTCAAAAAGGAAGGTACACTTAAAACCACACTATGTAGAGACATGCGTAGTCATTAGCCATCAGCTAATAAGCAAGTAGCAGTAAATAAAAACAATATGCGGCACAATTAAAACATATCCAGCTGTTCAGTGCTTCCCAGTATAATTAATCAACTCTCAAATAAGGTGATCTGTGGAAATTCCATCACGTTTATCTAGCAGAAAACTTCATGTGTGATAAGACACCAACTGGCATGTGAAGTAAATAGTTCTTGAAGAGCATTAGCGGCAAGCAGTGTCTTGAGGTTGATTATCTCAGTGACTAATGCTCTGTCACTCTGTGGTATGAGAGGGCCCAGCAAGGACCCCCGGTAATGGAGCCTGAGCAGGTGCTGAAAGCCCATTGACATCAGGGGGGAGTGCACTGACAAGAATTTCTGATGAATTTCAATTACTGATCTATTAAAGCTAATGAGGTAAATGAGAAGCCAGAATACATTTGCGAAATAGCTCGAGACGAGACCTCGGCGGTTTGACGGGATTTTGTGCACGTGCAGCCTCAGCCGACACTTTGTGTTTGTGCTACTGTTAGCAAAGTATATGTTAGCCTGCTGAGTGGGAAGTGAAAGTAAAGAAGTGGCTCTAAATCCAATATTTTCCATACATTAGGCATACTTGTTTGGTTATGTTTAATAAAAGCTATTTTGTTATGTTCCAAGTTGTCTAAATGTAAGGCCAGTGTGCCATCTACTGGAGTCACTGCGCTGCAGCACAGACAAAGGATCAGCTCCATTTCCAGACATGTACTACCATCAGCTGGCTAAGTGGTGAACAGCATCATGGGATACCGAATGCTTTCAAGAAAGCATTTTGAGGACTTATCCATCTATTTTATAACATGCTAATGGATATCTGTAGGCATGATATCAGTTTCCTTAAGCTCAATAAAAATGTAACACTTACTATATTGTATAGCCTTCAAGACATTTTAAACAGTGGATGTAAAAATGTGTAGGTTTAGAAAAGGCCACAATATTATAATTGTTGTCTCAAAGATCCACTCTAACACTGTGCTGCCAAAATTTCCCAAAAACACATGTTTTATTGATACAGAATAACAGCACTGATCATCTCATACACTTGCCTTAACTGTATATTAGAAACGTGTTTCTCTATTGTAGAACCGCTGGCTATTTTTGTTGTAAAAAATCACACAAAAACACATGACTAGGCTTTTCCATAGTAGGGGGAGGGGGATTCTCATGTGGAGCAAAGACCAACTGCAACCATTCAAGCAATGCTGGCACAGGACGAATGGGTTTCCAAAGGATTGCACTTATTCAAAAGTGGGCTATCCCCACTGGGCCTTGACAACGACTTCTAAAGTGGGCTTTACAACTAACCCAATACACCTTGCAGCTATAGTTAAGAAAAAGCAGGATATTAACACTATGCTCAGGGATATATTTTTTTCATTATCTGTTTAAACTTAGTTGGGTAATAACTTCTCTACAAGATATTTCACCGTGATTGTATCCAGAAGACAGCTCCAGATTGTGGACAATATGAGGGGCATAGATATACATAAATATTTACGTTCTTCAGGGTTAAGGATAGTATTAAACTCCAATATTTCAAATATCCGCTCACTTGATTTTTAGTAAATATAATCTTTTTACTAATTCAGAGAAGTGGAAGTGACTTTAATCCCACAATTGCTACTAAACTGAAGGTGTTTGTTTATGATTTTGGTTCACATACAGTAGGGCTGTCCCGAATACAATTTTTCGGGCTCCGGATATTCGGTAGTAATCAGCACAGACTGTAACGACTGTATAATGGCTATTTTGCATATCCCTTTCAAGATTTCAAGATTTTCTAAGGTTCATTGACAACTATGGTGTAGTTATGCAATAAATGAAAAACTTGGGTCGCAGCTGAGGTTCCTCAACAATGCATTACAAGACATCTATCAATATGTGTGTATACCTCCACCATTAAACTGTCATATTCTGCACATTTCTTATACTATATACATACATAAGAGTATAATTCATATGTATAATATCAGTTAAAATAAGTGNACTATAAACCATACAAAAGCTTTCTGATGTTGGGGTCTTGAATAACAAAGCAGCGTAAGAATTATGACGTTTAGTTGAGGCCACAGGTGCGAAAGCTCTCCCAAGACAGTCAATGGAAGCCCCATCTTCGGCGGACTCATATAGGTGTAAGAAAATGATGAACAATATATTTCCGCTCAAGCGTACTCAAAGCAACAGCCTCGAACAACCTCAACCTATATCAATAGTGACCAACGTTAAATGCTCTAAGCTACTTAGATGCCCTAGACATGTTATTTCAGTGGTAAATACTAGCACAATATAACAGACAACATACTACCATTAATATGTAAATAATCAGACCAAATATAATGTACAACCCTGACTCCTCTGTCTAAATATAATATGTTCGCCTTATGCTGTTAGTGATTGTTGCATATCACTAAAACCACCCTTGCACTATGAGACCTTTATAACTCACTTCGCGGGGCTCGATCCACTATGAGCCCCTTAGCTTGGTGAATAAATCGAGCATTACCCGATACGGCCTGTCCGTGAGCTATTGCTTAATTATTAATTGTAATTTAATATTCCATTACCTTATCAACACTTAATGGAAATAAATTCAGCTGTATTGTGTTAACGAATAATGGCCCTTCAATAAGTGTTTTATTATTGTCAGATAGTTTTATTATCATATTATGGTATTTTCTACAGTTACCAACTTCTTGATATTATCTGTTTTATTCTATTTTGAGACGTTTTACATTTTAGATTTTGTATTAATTTACTACTCTTTATTGATTTCTACGCTCTATTTTGACAATATTAGGCCAAACATTTTCCCATTTGCAGTGAATCAATTAAAGTGCATCTTATATTATTCATCTATAAGTCGAGCGCATTTTGAATCATTATTTAGGGATATACTTTCATCTGGAGAGAAAAGAATGTGTTATTTCTCTTTCTAAAGTTACAAAGTCCTGCTTTAATTTGATCGATTTTGATTGTTGTGTGCGGAGTGGTCCTCCGGAGGCAAGTCGCTCCATCAGAAGAAGAGTGCGGAGGGGGACACTCTGAGGAAAACGCTGGTCACCCTCACCAACATCGTGTTCCATCGGGGGGAATGACGCTCCACCCAGCCCACATCACCATGGACACCAGGCAGGTAGGAAGGACACCTCCAATCTGCTTCAGAAAACTAAACACCGATGCGTGTGTGTGTGTTGTGTTTGTGTGGTGTGTGTGTTGTGGGTGGTGTTGTGGTGTGTGTGTGTGTTAGTGTGGGGTGTGTGTGGTGTGTTGTGGTGGTGTTGTGTGGTGTGTGGTGTGTGGTTGTGGTAGTGTGTGTGGTGTTGTGTAGTGTGTGTGTGTGTGTGTGGGTGTGGTGGATGTGGTTGTGATAGTGTGATTCCTAGTGGAGTAACATCTCTGTACATAATGCATCTAATTAGTAGATGTGGACTTAATGATACCTTCTTCAAATACGCGTAACTTAAATAGAATGATTGATACTTGTACTTTAACTACTCACTGTACTAAATTGCTTTTTATGCTGAATTTTTTCACAAAGTAGAAGCACAACATGAGATTTTCTATTAAGTCTATTATGTGACAACTTCTTCAGGCTGTCTATATAGTCTATTAAAGACTCAGATTATTAACTAATACCAACAAAATAACCGAGATATAAATAAGGTTATTTAATATATATAGTTTAAAGTAAATCAGCAGAAGAATACAAATGTGACAATAGTTCCACCATTACAGTATTAGAAACACGTTCATTCAATCACATACTAACCATCAACTGGAAGCAAAATAAGGATATTACTTTTGATTATTTAAAATAAGCAATACGTCTTTTTTCTTTCCACCACCGACTAAGTGGTAGCAGACAGCTGAATATCAGATTGAACCCGGTGTTCACCTCCCCCCCTTGTCTCATGGCTCCATCTGGTAGTTTGAATACCTGTAACTCAGGTGATTAATAAGTAATACTTATTTGGGTTGTGCATAATGTTGGAGTTGGTTTGTCTGATTATGGTCAGGCTATCTGAGTGCAGATAAAGTGGGCTAAATATTTAATAAAAACGTGGAAATTACGTTTTTAATGATCATATTATCTTCCTATCTCTTCTTGTTTAAGAATGACACTGATGTTAAGGCACTTATTGTGCAAAATCCACTTTGTTCATGCCATTCTACATCAACATGTGTCCCCTCTTTGTCAAAGAGAATCTGAAAGTTTCAGGAACAAAGACCCCCATCCTTGGTCCTGATCCATCTATAAAAACCTGCTGAAAATGAGCTGATCAGATTTTGGCACTTACTGATTTCTGAACGATTTCTTGGCTTGTGTAACCATTAGCCAATTCACCCAACCAACCGGTGTTATGTCGTTACAAAACTGGTTTTCCCTACACAAAGACTAGTCTCCCCCCCCCCACCCCCCCCCATAAACTCAGTGTGGTGCCTGAACCTCCACCCTTCACACTCCATGCTGACGACAGCTGTGGTTACCAGGAAATGTATGACGTCGCTAAAGAGCCTCCATTAGTTTATTTACAACCCCTCAGTGGGGGTGCATTAAGTTTAAAGGGCTACTTGTGATGTATGGGCCTCGGGGAGATGGTGGGAGGGGGGTCCAAGAGAAAAACTAAGGAAATCTGGCTGCAGCAAAATACAAAAGCCTGATTTAATTTAAATGTTCAGTGCTTAACAACTATGGTTACATTTACATATCAACACCTTTATTGATCAAATAAATATGCACTTTTGGACAATGATTTGATGTTTCTCGTATTGTTGCATTCAGGTGCCAGTAAAAAAATGTGCTAGACATTTGTATGACTGTTTTTTGTATCCTCCTGACCTCCTGTCTCCTCAGGGTGAAAGATTATTCGTCAGACTGGTCGGACGAGGAGAGTCCTAAGAAGCTGGCGGTGAACGGCGTGGGGGAGGCGAAGGAGGAGGAGGAGGATGAGGAGGAGGAGGATCAGGATCAGGTAGAGGCGGTGCGAGTCCGAGCGATCTATGATTACGAGGGCCAGGAGGCCGATGAGCTCAGCTTTAAAGCAGGTATTAACACAAACTAATGCTTACAGCGGGGGGGGGGGGGCATCACAGGGAGACTGCTGACTTTTGATCTGATCCATCTGAGTTGAATAACTGCTGTCGTTTCAAGAAATGTGCAAAACAAAAAATAAAAGCAATTAAATGATAAGTTGAAAAATAACAAGTAATGACATCTAAATATACTTAAAGTTCTGAAACTGAAAACAGCTCATTATGAAGAATGGCCAAATTCAGAATTGTAACTGTAATGTTGCATCTAGTTTTAATGACTTTATATGCTGTCAGGCACAATCCCACAAATGACCCCATCATGTATTAGTTGATTACATTAAGTGTTAATGATCTGTTACTAATAGAATATATTTAGTTTGGTAAAAATGATAACATTTACCTCTGAAATGTAGTGAAGTATATGTACAAGGTAGCAAAACACTGGAAATACCAGTAAAGTACAAGTACTTCCTAATTGTACTAAAGTGGAGTACTTGATACATGTGTTAGTGTGACTGTAGTTGTTTTGATGTTGCACAGAAGGAGTTGTAGCAGGGTATTTACTGTTCTATTATCTCATGATCACAACTTAATCACAAGATAAGAGATACATCCATTCAAATGTAAGAAGCCATGCTCATTTAAAACACTTCCTGTGTTACAAACAACATGATTTAGTTGTGAAGATGACAGATTTAAAAGTATGAAAAGGATTCAGCTATAACACTAAATGCAATACAATTTGTTCAAAAACAGTTATAAACCAGTGCAATCATTAAAGGCCCGAAAGTGTCCTTTTTAAAGGGAGATTGCATTGATGTAGGTTTTCTCCAAATGGTATCCACCCTAGATTAATTACAAATGAACTATTTAGCCTAAATACATTATTAACATTTTAAAAAAAAGCAAAGCAATTACTTTATATCAACTTCACAACTGATTTGCACATTTTCATGAAATAGCAGCTTTGCAAACATAAACATTTATACGTTCTAGTTGAACACTTTTTAAGATGTTTTTTTGTCCACCTGTGATGCCTCGACTTAACACCTTCACACACATTCATGGCGAACCGATTGGTTCAGACATGAGTATGCAGAGTAAGACTGTGATGTATCATGCTACATTATGTAATATCATGTAATGAGGACACACCCATAAATCATTACATAATTTACCTCAATCTGCATGTCAGTTTAAGTTTGTGAAATTATGCATTATTGATTCTGAGTCACAGAAACGTCTTGTCTTTTGTAAAAAAAATGTATAACCCTCTGAAATTATACTTCAGGTAAAATATATAAAACTGACTTATTTCCGTGACTTAAATTGGATCATTATTACAATTGTTTCTAATGTGAAAGTGCTAATAACATCACAAGTGTTCCTTGTGATGCTGCATAATGTGAGCAGCTTCTCATCCTCTGTCCTGTTTGGAAATGGAAGCATTATGGGAAGCTTTTCAAACAGTCAGAGGACTGATGCTTTTATTTTCATGGAATAACTGCTCTAGCTTTTCGGCTTTATTAAATACTTACACCATTTTTAAAACTTCTGATTGGATTTATTTTCCTTATGCGCTGGATGTTTTGACACCTGTCTGAATATTAAGAATGCTACTTGAAAGCTTCATGTTACTTTCAAGGATTCTCTTAAATTGAAGTGCTTCAAAAGAGCACACATAGTTTATATGTGTATTCTGAATCTTGGACAATTCCAAGAATTTGGTAATTTGTCTATATTTTAAGAGTAGCTTTACTTTTTGGCAACCATGTGATTCATATAGTTCCAAAGAGTTGTATCGTATTAGACCTTGGTGTTTTGCCTATTTGATCGCACACATACAAGCTAGTTTTGAGCAGAAAGGGTGGTCTTTTACACAAACTACATTGCTATAAGTGAGTAATAAAAAACCTTTATATGTTAATACTACAATCTTACATTGTATGGCCACCTTGAGCATTCCACTGGATCTTAATTTTAGAATAATTTGAACATAGAAAGTCCTATATTCAGTCATTTTAGCTCCACCAAGTCCTGAGAGAAAGATTGGTCTCTTTATTTCATACGAGCTCCACTATGTTCACCAGCTAGTAGTCAATTACACCTGTATGCTGGTTGGTGCTGAGCAGGTAATGTAGTAGGGGGTCAAGTCAATTTGACGTAATAGCAACCTAACAACAGGTCTACTCCTTAAATTGGTGTACAGTGTGTTTATCTGGACTTCCTATATTAAACACAGTTGTGTGCATGCTGTGACCCCAGTTCTGTTTTATACAGTAACTTAACGGTGTTGCGTTGTACTTAATGTGACGCTACATCTGTAAGAGTTATGATCATATTAACTGCTGCAAGGTTTTACAGATTTCAACATCATTTTTGTACTCTTATTCAAGAGGGAAGGTGTTGTAATAGGATATGTTTCATGAAATATAATGTTCTAACATGTAGCAGTAAAGGACTCAGAATGGGATCATTAGGGTAATTAATGTTAAGATCAAATTGTGTGTGAACTAGGTGAAACACATGGCCTCACAAACTGTTCCTCACAGTGTCTGAAGTCAATGGGGTACGAGGTGAGTAAAACTCCTCTCACTCTCTGGTGAAGGTCAAGGGTCGGTCAGTGTAGCGGAATGTGGCCAGGACCCGTGTGCGGTAGGTCTGAACACAAACTCCTGCGTTAAAATAGTTACAGCAAAGAATCGGGGGGGGTTTATCGTCCTTCACCAAGGTCAACCAATAAGTAACAAGAAGGCTTTAGCTATGAAAGTACAAGGTTTGTTTAGCAGCACAATCCTGAGGTCTGCTCGCACTTTGTTTTCTGTCTTTGACGAAATAAAGTTATTTTGCATCGTACTCTGTCTGCCTCCAGCGACTTCTTCTCAACCTGTTAGAATCATACTGCTGCGTGTGTTGAGGGGAGGTCCGGACCCTTCAACTGACCCAGGCCAACATCTATTCCAACAAGGGTTCAGATTGCAGATGGTAGTCACAGGAATAATTGAAACCCTCATTTGACTAGAAAACATTTTCTGTTTTTTATTGACTTATTTATTGATAAAAAAACATCCCTGCCCTTGTAGGACATCACGTAAAATGTTGCTGTTAAAAAACGGAATTTGACACAAAAATGACACGGACCTATAACTTGTGGTAAAACCAGACATTGACCTTAAAGAGGTTAAATGCTGTGTGTAGCTGCAGATCAGTTTCTCTCAGGTCTGTTCTGGGCAGGAGAGAATGTGTCCTTGGTTGGTTAACTCCCTGTGGAACTCCAGTCTTTCCTCTGCTGGCCCTCGGCCTTAATTGAATTATCTTAAATTAATGCTTTCTCCAATTTTTAGAATTCAATATTTTAACACAATGTTTGAGATCTAAACTTTCTTACCCTCATGTTCCCTCCAGGCGAGGAGCTGCTGAAGATGGGGGAGGAGGACGAGCAGGGCTGGTGTAAAGGGCGGCTGAGCAGCGGCCAGGTGGGCCTCTACCCCGCCAACTACGTCCAGAACTCCTGATGGCCCGCCCAGCCAATGGTACCACACTCAAGATGCCAGGACCAATCACAAGCTAGTAGTGCTGACATGGAGACGGTGAAACCAGACAGTTTTCTGGTGACTGACTGATAAAACAACTTTTTTTCCTTTTTTTTATCAGCCAGTTGGAAAAAAGTCAGTCTATTGTGAAAGGCTGTTTACACAACCTGAGGTGAATGACATTGTTTTTTGAAAGAAGCTTTACAGGCAAAGAGAAATCAATGGAGGCCTGCCAATGCTCTGTAGAGAAACATGGACGCAAGTGAACAAACTCTGGATCTTTTTTTCTGCTTGCTGCCATCGTTTTTAGTTGCAAGAGTTAGAAAATCCACATTGAATCTAAGAGGAGACAGCCCGGGTGCCGCAGCGGTAAGAGTCACCACCACGGCTGACAGTGATTGGCTGAAACACATGTCAATCAGTTTCCGTTCTGCTTTTTTGTGGAAGAAACCATTTCACATTTTGGGAATTAAAAAATTAATTAAAACGTTTTATGCAGTTAGATCACAGAATAGAAGCAACTCAAAAACGGCTGAGAAAGCCTTCAGGTTCTGAAGACTATCTTTGGAAGTAAAAGCCCAATTGTATTCGCACAAACGATATCAATGAAAATTCCTAAAACTCTGATGTGCACGGCTAACAACAGGAGAGCTAGGCTTTGATTGGGTTACCTTTATTCAGAACTAGGCTAGTCTTCCCTATTGTTTTAAGTCTGTATGATAAGCTAACCAGCAGTTGCTGACCTCTTGTGTTAGCTATATCTATCTTCAAATCTAACTCTAGGCAAGTGAATAAGCTTTATTTCCCAACATGTGAAACACATTTTTTAAACACCACTATTTTCATCATTAAAGAAAGTAATCGTCGTTGTTGGGGGAAACATTTTAAAGCAATTTTCAATAGATGTTGGCGCACTTTGATCCAGCCCCTAGTGTCCGCTAGAGGAACTGCAGCTGGCGGCACCTTCAACTTCCTCTTCGCTCAGTTTTGGTGGTTCGTGCTTGGATTAAAGAGATATAAAGACTGCCAGTGCCTTAGTCAGTGAGGCCAGACATTTTACAGCCCCCCCCTGCTGTCTGACCGAGGAACTACAGCCACCTGATCCTGACCCCTAGTCTGATCCCAGTGGAATCTGTGTCAGGACTTTAAAATGTTTTACCTTCTGATTGGTTCATTTAGCTCGACATTGGCATGCTTTGGTTCATTTGTGGTTTTTTAGGTGTGACACTGAATTCACTTTCTTTCCTTTCTTTGTATGTGATAGCTGTATGTTTATATTCATTCAACAGATTTTGATTTTGGGACGGTGTAAACTAATGCTACTTGTTTCTTTTTAAGAATAGCATTTTTACAGTCAATTTATTTACTTTCTAATTTATTGTCCTTTTTAATTTAGCAATCATTTTCAATGTTAGTCTGACTAAGGTGGGAAGTTGACTGTTAGCTTTGGGCCCTTTGACCTGTGGAAGGTGGTTTGTTTTGCCGTGCTTCGATCATGAAACACACAGAACACAAACACCTTAAATAATTGATCATATTCTGTCCGCTTTGTTATTTTTTCATGTTTAATTTTGTGGTTTGTGTGTGAGGGGGCTTCCTCCTTCCTGCTGATGTGAGCGTCGCTACAGCTAATCCACGTAGACGTCTGAATAATAAGAGAGGTAATAGAGATAATTAACGCTAATGTGATGCTCCTTTTTTCCTTTTTCTTTACAAAATGATAACATGTACATAACATTACGTGGGAAGCAACAATAAAGCGCTTTCTGGAGTTGGAGGTTTTATAGACTTACTTTTGTCCTCAAATTCTTTCAAACTGTAGTTATTCATGTATCCTGCAAATATTAAAGAGTGGGGAACTGGGAGGAGGGATAAAGGATATTTTATAGGCAACTGGTTCTCAATTCCCATTGATTTTTGCTCCATAGAAAATGCCACATGACTCACAGTTAGAGCACTTGTATGGTTCAGTTTTAAATGTATATTGTCAAATGTGTTTCATTGTTGTATTTGAGTACAAAGGGTGGCGCTATAGTTGCTGAAATAATCCAACATTTACCTAAAAGGTTTTTTTTCTCAACAGCATAGTCTTTAGCTTAGCAGGTGGTATGTTGTTGCAGTGCATGCTGTGAACCAAATACTTTTCTTGAGGTTAAATATTCAGTCTTTTTCTGGCGCCTTCGCTTTGTCAGTATAATGATGAGTGTGGAAACAATGGGTCGTATATGCAGCTGGGAGGAGAGCAACTTCCATTCACTGAAGCAGACTGGAGGATATGGTGAAAAGCTCAGGAAAAACTAAGGATTAAACCTGGAATTACAAATATATAAAAAATGCAAATGTTTTAACCTATGTTGGCACATTGTTTAAATTCAAGATGTTCTACCTGATGTAAATAGGCTGCAGCTCTGCTATTTGCCATATTTTGAATCGATGTATTAAAGTAAGTGTTATTTTAATTATACATATTTTAAAACAGGTATGAAGTTCCCCATGAAAAGATCTTAAAAAAAGCAATACTATTGTCACTTGGGACCTTTTTATAGGGTCACCTTTTAAAGAGTGACCCCTGCTCCAGGAGAACCTGCTTTTAATGACAAGAGCCAACTGCTGGTTCAGCCTGCGCTCCGTTACATATATAATGAGGGATCTTTCATTTTCAAACCCATTTCAAAGTTATCTGTGAGCAGACTTCTAGGAAGTACTCTTTAACTTGAACAACAATTATCTCAACTGCAGACAAATTTGAATTACAATTCCTGCTTTTTCACTTAAATTACAACAATATCAGCAAAAAGTATCAAACATTAAAGTTCTCATTATGCACAATGGCCCATTATAAGAACAATGTATATTATATTATATTATGAAGCTATAATTATTCATGCCTTTATTTGCACCTCTCTGGAGATAATGTTTTATAACTATCTAAATTATTGTATCATTTATTTTTTGATTATTACTACCTTGATATACATCCGCAAAGTATGTAAAATAAAGAGCAATAATTTAGCAAAGTTTGACTTAACAGTGCAATTTTACTTTACTACAGTACTTTAGTAAATATTCATCTCAACCACTAGGGACATGTTTTCTTTTGAATACAACAGGATGAAAAAAATGTGGATAAACTCGACAATTGAAAACAAATCGGGTTGAGTCAAAGGTAGAAAATCTGCAGACATTTTTATTAAATTGACAAATTTTTATCTGTACAGCAAAATCAAACTTCACAATGATAAATCTGTTACGGTTCATATTACATGGCATAATGTAAAAAGAAAAACTGCACACCGATAAAGTTTGTTCACATAGAGACGTACAAAACTGGTTCTGATGGTCGCCATAGAGATGGTTTATAAAAGCTCTGAGCAGCGAGCTGTGTTCCGTCTGACCGTCAGCCCGCCATCAGGAAGAGGACCCCCCCTCAAATAATCTGCAACTTCAGTTCATTAACTTTTGTAAATGAGGAGCAGAAATTATTTAGTAAATGCTGCCAACCTCCTGCTTTTAGGTCATTCACAAATATTAATATACAACTAAAAGCTGCAAAGCAAGCAGAGAGAGGATACATTTCTATTTTTTTTTTTACAAATGAATGAGGCTCAATTTCCAGTGATGTTAGCGCCCTGCAGAGCTGCATCAAGTTAAAGTGCAAAATTAAATATTAAACAATCCAAACAATGCTTGAATCTCTTTAGTTTCATTTAGAGTTACTTGCCTGCCAAACAAAAGCATGTTTATGGCTCGAGAGTCTGTCAACGACCTAGCGGGGGTTTTCCATCCGGGATTTAAACATTGAATAATTTGTTATAACGTCAGCATAAAGCCAACATGCTTTGTAACTTTCTTTCTTTAATTTGATACATGTTCCTCTAATGATTGTAAACTGAATATATGTTTCCTCTGAATGTAAAGTCTACATTACACACCAATCAATGGAACTTTAAACTAAACACACAATCTGAATGTTTTGAGGTAAAACCCCTCTGACTGCTGCCCCCTGGCCCATTGCTCTGCATCAAGACCACTTAAAGCTGCTGATGTTCCGTTTTTGTCCACCAGGGGGCAGCAACAAGCCGTTGGGATAAGAGCTCGAGCAGTTAGTTTAGCGTAAAATCTGGAAGCAGGGTGAAACGGCTAGACTGTCTCTGTCCAAAGAAATAAAAAAAAGTACGCCTACCAATAATTTACATATACGACCAGAAATAGAAAAGCTATTTCTTGATGCCCCAGTAACACTTCAGGATCTCTCAGCAGTTGTCGTCCAAAAAAGAAAGTTCTATTACCTCGTGATAAAGTTTTTTAGATTTATTACATTACATGTTGTACGGATCAAAAAATGAGCTGAGTTAATATAAGGTGTCTTGATGGGTTTCGGTGGTTATTTTAAAGAAAATTGGTATTATCTTTTCCCCTTCTGTGTGCAGTTGCAGTTCAAAACCTAAATGATTACCTTTGACTTGTATATGCCAATTTCAGACGATGTTTTCTCAGTCACATTTAGAGGGTGCAGCTCAGTCCAGGTTTATTAGTCTGACCTTTAGCGTGTTATTGAAGCAGAATTTTTTTTTTAAAAAGGGTATGTGTGCCAGCTGTTTATTTGCCATATTAGCAATAACTTACTTCCTTACAAAACTGCACACACTGCTAATGTTTGTGCTCAGGCATGTTGCTCATGGTACAGACTGCAGAAGATTAAGCCTCTCTGAGTGTTTTGTAACAGATTGTGTTCATTAAAGGCAACAGAGGACATGGGACGACGCAGGTCATGATGAGAATATCCAGAAAGATCCACAACTCAACGTAAGGAGCCGTACCCGGCGAGTCAGACGGGATCCTGTAAGGGAGTGAAGAGGACGGGACTTCACGGTTGATGGGGAAAAAGTCTGAAAGCAACAGGGACGTCTGAAAGAATTCAAAGTTCAGTTGCTGAGTGTGCGATTCCAGCAGCCACTTTGAAAGAAACAACGTCCTGTTGCTCGACATGCTCCAGTCTCTGAGTTAAATATCACAAAAAAGCAACGATTGGAAAGCAACCCAAACCTCAGAAGCAGCAGCCTTCAGTCAAATCATGATCGGTGCTCCTTTAGGAACTCAAAAGATGCCTCACATCCAACCCCGAACAACACCCTCCACAAAGCAGATATATTGGGGGAGGAAATATAATATCAGCGCTACAATCTGACGCTCAGTTTGGAGATGGCCAGAACGGAGAATTTTCAGGGATTTTGTTTGCATTTGATTCAAATGTTCAGCAGCAGAAAATAAACGGAGCGGTTCCAGATGCGGAAATGGTGTTGGCACTGTGCAGGGTGGCTGGTTAAAGACCGGGAATCTGCGTAAGGACGAGAAAGAGGAGGAGGAGGAGGAGGAGGAAGGTGCGAGGAGTCAGTCTTTTGTGGGCGCTCTCCCTCTCTACCGGTCCTTCAGCTCTCTGGTCACTCTCTTGGTGATGCGGCCGCACAGCAGCCCCACCAGGAAGAGGATGCACACGCTCAGAGAGATCATCAGCAGGATGTAGTTCTTGGAGGGCGAGATCATCACCTGCACCGCCAGGTCTGAGAAGCCCTCTGCTGGCGCCACCTGCAGGACGNGCCGTTGTGTCCTTGGGCAAGACACTTCACCTGAACTTGCTCCTGTGGGTATTGTCCACAGTAGATGACCATTACATGTATGTATGATCTGTATATGTAATGTGTATTTGTAAAGCGCTTTGAGTCATTGATAAAGCGCTATAATAAATATAAGGATTATTATTATTATTATTATTATCAAGAAAGTGTTATCAAAAATCCCTTAAAGGGTAATCTAAAAAACGAACGAGCAGTGATAATACATAGGGAAAATAGGTAATAATAGATTTTGGTGCCTACAAAGTTAAATTGATTATTACCCTATAATACTAAGGGAAAAAAACATTTCTAGTCTTTTTTTAATGCCAGTTGAATCCCCAGGTGTTTTACCTTTGCAGCATAGCTCCACATGTCGATGCGGTCCTGAAGTCTCTTTTTACACTCCGGCTGCAGACGGACCCTCTTGTCCTGTAACGCCTCGATAAGACACGACATTTCTGGACAAGAGAGGGAGAGACAAGTGAGAACATTCACACACAGTAGGTTCTGTGAATCTTGCTATATTGAGTGAAGCACCCACGTCGCCCCCTCCCCGGCGTGATGGCAGCACAGTGGTGTTTGAGGTCCAGAGCGCAGGCTGTGTGGAGCACCGGGTCCACGAAGATGTCCGCCTTACTCTCCTTCAGCATGTTCAGCACCTCCTGCAACAAAGGAAGGAGGAACAGCGAGCGATCAAGGATGAGGTTCTGCAACTCATATATTTAGACCTTATGATGAATCATCCAAATGAGATTTAGAGGAGTTAAAAACATGTTTTAATGGTGTTCACCACGTAGAGACTAGTTATAAAGACACTTGAAACATTTCCCAACAGAAGTCCATCCATCCTTACTAACTTGTTTGGATGTTTTACAAAGCAAGTCATAGGCTCTTTGGTTCATAATGTATTTGTCCTACAGCCCACAGACGACACCTGGAGGAGGATGCTCTAACTTATTCCCTGCATTGCCTCATAATGAATACAAATGTACATTTAACAAATATAGCACGTTGTTAACCAACTCCAGTAGACCCTTTTTCTAAGATATCAGCCTGAGTCTTTTTGACATTTCAAAGAAATACGATGGTTCAATCAACAACTAACCCTACGTCCACCCAGCCACAGGTTCGGAGCATTTCCCACAAATATCAAGGT